CTTTAATGCTATATGCTAGACTACATAGAGTTTAAATAAGTTATGCTCATGCCATAATTAGACTGAATTTCTTCTAATTGAAGACTATCAGAGCAATCATCTCTCCGTAAGACAAGCGGTTAGAGGCGCCAAATACCTAAACTTGTAAAATCTACTTCTAATCTCATCACACCTTTAGGTAATCCAAATCGTAAAAGCACACTCTGCTGCGGAGAACCCGTGTGACGCAATGGTCGATGGCCATTCGTGCTTTTTTCTACGTCTTATCACATCTGCGTGCTATATCGCTCACTCGACGGTATTTCTTGGCCTTCTATTCGAGCGATTTCTAGCCACTAAACACGTGTCCACCTATGAGAATAAGCCTCGCACAATAGGATATGTTATCGTTTCCATAGTGGTATGTGAGGAAATATTGCTTTAGTGACATTTTAGAAGTTCGTAAACTATTTAGATTCTCACTGCTATCCTTATTAGCATTTACAAAATGCATCGATATGTGATGAACAAGAAGGTCGTGTACTGCTCTGCCGTTACCGCTGAAACGAATTTAGATGTGCTTATAGTTCATAGTTTAATATTCGCTATATTAATCATAACTGTGCTAATATATGGGATCACATTCTTTCAAAATATCAAGTCAAAAAACAGGTGAGTTTCAGGAAAAGTTGTTTACCTATAGCAATTTGTCCAATTCCTTAGATTCAAATTTAAACGCTAAAATATGAAAATCGAATGCCAGGTGCACGGTAAGACTTAAACTTAAGACTCATACGCTCTCGAGCGGTTCACAACTTTATGTTGAAGAACTTTATTCCATTTGGCTCTCATCCGTGAAAGATCAAAAATTACAAAGTTTTTTCTCACAAATTATTGCTTTTCTCTAAAAATGGGCCTTTTAGTCCTAAAACCCCTACTAGCCATACTTGTCTGCTTAAGAAGTTTAAGGTGATCTAAGGCTATGCTTTGAACATGGGAAATTCTAACGGCATTTGTGGAGCTAATAAGAGCCCGGAATTTTATATAAACTAAAATGGTAAAGTGCAAACTCGAACTTAGATAGAAAAGGAAGTGGTACCAGCTGATTGGTGGGAACGAATTTTGTCTTAAAGTCTTTTAGAACTATAACAAAGGAGCTTGAC